GTACTTCGTCGATCTGCCTGTTCTGTTTCCCACTCTGTCTCTGGTGGAGCCTCTCACCGCCCCTGAGCCTCTGGCCTGTACCCCAGCTCTGTATGCACAAATAAATAAATCTTTAAAAAAAATGGCAGAGGAGAACTTACTGTAGGAAACTTAGTCTGTTCAGGGAGGCCAAGTAGGGGCATATCTGGGGAGGGACCACCAAATTGTGATCCCCAGATCTTAGAAAGCTTTGAGTAGGTAAAGAGGAGTCTGTGGGAATATATTCAAGGCAGAGGTCACAGCATGTGCAAAACTGTCACGGAGCAAGGACTTGGTGACCTCTGGAGATGGGGTTCTGTTTGTGAAGAGGTTAGCAGCAAGCCTGGCATACAGCTCTTTGGGGAAGCAATTGTGGAAAGTAGATGAAAACAACAAGATGATCAATTCAGATATTGTCATTAGAAAACATTTTTGGACATCTACTTGGCAGTTCTTAGGCCACTAGAGCTATTATTCTTTGACCCAGTCATAACACTTTTGGGGATCCAGTCCCAGGATATAATCCAAAAGAAGGGGAAAAAAACACATGGACAAACATTTATTGCAGTGTTATCAATAGCCATGAAAAGGGGTCTCCCTGCTGGTGCAAGGGGTTCAGTCTCAGACTCTGTTCAAGTAAATAAGCAGAACCTAAATTCAAACCAGATTTATGACTCCAACATTGTTACAAGTACAGATGATAACGATCACCTGAAAGTCAATGCTCAGTTCCACCATTCCTATGGGGTGACTCTGTGACCCCGAGCAAGGCAACCTTTCCGTTAATCAGTTTCCATGCCTACGACATAGAAATAATAACAGCACCTGCCTCAATGGATTAAATGAGTTGACATAAAAGTAGTTGAACACTTGCTATAAGATCATTCTCTCATTATGCCATGCTTCACCCAAAGCCATTAGTATAGATTTTAATCAAGATAATATATAATTTTGGTATAATGTTAAGTGAAAATAAAAAATTGTATCTCTGCTATAATATAAAAGGTATTGTATACATGGACAAGAACTGGAATTTCTGCAGACAAAAAAATCTGTACTTGTTGGGATATTAGTGGTATGGTCAATTTGTTTTCATTTATAGTAACTATTTTATAAGAACAAGAACAGGGCCCTCCCTGGTGGCACAACGGGTTAAAAAAGCGCAGCACTATGAAGCTATCCGCAGCCACTGCAGTGAGTCAAGGGAGCTGACCCACGTGGCAGAACAGGACTCTCCTGACTCCCCGCCACTTCCCTCAGCAGTGTACTTCATCGATCTGCCTGTTCTGCTCCCCACTCTGTCTCTGGTGAATCCTCTCACACCCCACACCTCTGGTCTGTACCCCCACTCCCCCGCTCTGTATGCATAATAAATAAATCTTTTTTTTTTTAAAGTATAAGAACAATAACATATAGCTTTTAAAAACTATACCTGTGAGATTTCCAGTAGAGTAGTTGCATGCTATTGTTTCTGCTGTATGGAAACTTTCCCAACTGGGAACTTACCCTCACACTAGGCTAGAAGGACCCACTGTTATCGGCAGAAGCAAGGCACTAGTGCATGAGAATTAATTTGCAGACTGAAACAATAATAGATCCTGGTGATATTTCATGTCCATGGCTGAACAGCTGAGTGAACATCGGCCAGTTACTTAGCTCCCAGAGCTTCTGCTTCCTCTCTCTAAGTCAAAGATCTAAATACCTCCTGCAGGTTTTGTTTTTAGCTTTTTGGTTTTTTGAGTGATAAATAAGAGAATGTGACACTTCCTTGACTTCTGACCAAGACTATCACAATTATAATTGAATACTCAGTAGGGTAATCAGCTGTTTCATCGCTGCCCCTTGAAGACACCCTCTAACGTCTCCGAAGATTAGCTCCACCAGAGCGTGGAGAATCACCCGCACCAGCACAATGCTTCGTCCATAGTAAGCACTCAAGACAGCGAAATGAAGGCATGAAAACTTGCAGGAGTAGACAGAGGCAGTTTCAACTACAGAAAGGACTTTGGCAGTGGAGACTCGAGCAGCACCCCTTGGCTCCAGCTGCCATGGCGGGACAAAAGGCCTTGCACACACATCCCAGCCCAAAGGGTGTGGGGGCTGAACCCCAATCCACAACAGTTCAGGGCTGGGTGCAGAGCGTCTATCTGGAAATAGAGACTTTGGATAATTCCACAGAGGGATTTTGGCTAGCAGCGGCCTTGTCACGGACTCAGCTGTCCATCAGCAGAAACATCCAATCATGGGAGAATTAAGGGTTAAGGCTGGATGCAGGAGGCACAGTGGGGAGCCCTCCAAGTGAGCCTCAGTATTTACCCGGGCCAAGCAAGCCGGCCATCTTACCACCCCCCAACCTCAGCCAGAACAACTCTTTCTGGTGTCTCACTTGAACCTTTAGGTGGGGCTTAGGCCAAGACCATTTTTCCGCTGGAGGACATGAGTCAGTGAATGGTGAGGCTCTACTTAATCACCACCCAAAAGCAAGGGCCTCAAAATCAGCAGCTAAAAAAGCAAGGAAGTGATTAATATAAAAACCAGGATAGTGAGTGTTCCTTGGGCAGGATGGGGTGGGTTGGGAGTGGGGGATGACGGGGAAGTGCAGCCGGAATGGCGCCCTTTAGGGTGTGAGTAGGTCTATTATTCCTCATGGCCGCGCTTCAGCTTCAACCTCACACATCACCCCCCCAACCCTCGCCATGTGTATTCTGCTCACAATTTTAAATAGCTGGGAAAAAAATTACAAATCATAACAGGTTTTTTAGTATGTTGGGGGGAGTGGAGGGAAGGAGTGACCAGATTTTTCTTATTAAAATATCAACTGGGTATTGAATGGAAAACTGATGGCCAGTGGGGCCAGGCCAGCAACAGAGAAAACAGGTCAGGTGGTGCTGGAGTAACTATAGATAGTGACTGAGCTAAGAAAAGCCAAAATATTGGTGATGCCATCTACATTCGTCTTTAAAAACAACCAAAATGAAAGAGGCTGACATTGGTTCATTCCACGCATGGGATGTGTTTGGCCCGGGAGTTATTGTCTAGAGACACGTGGCCTAAGAGACACATGGACCCCAGGCCTGTCACCTCCCTCGTGCTAACTTCACCCAGGCTCAGGCTTCCTGGCCAGTAGCGCAGAGCACACTTTCACAACAGCAGCGATTATCCCAGTTAAGCCGACCTCAGGGTTTCTATCATAACGTGGAGTCATCAATCATAATATCTCATCACTCAAGACTTTTCTGTGGTTACACATCTACTAGATGTGCCAGGATGTTAGTCCCATGGGGAGAGGTTCTTGCTTTGTTTACTGCTCTATCCTCAGAGCCTAGGACCATCGTAGGTGCTCAATAAATGTGATTAAATCAGTGTTACTACTGATAATGAATCCTCGCAGTAATCCCATGTAGACAGAGAGGCTATGACCTACGTTCCAAGTTTATGTATTTCTTTATTTTTTAGATTTATTTATGTATGCATATAAGAACTGGGATATAGGCCAGAGGTGTGGGGTGGGGGAAGAGTGGCTGTGAGAGGATTCACCAGAGACAAAGTGGGGAACAGAAAGGTGGGTCTACTGAAATACACTGAGGGGAGCAGCGGGCAAGACAGGAGAGGTCTGCCGCGCCATGTGGGTCAGCTCCCTGGCCGGGGATCAAACTTGTACTGCAGTGGCTCTGGACAGTTTCATAGTGCTGCCTTTTTATCTCTTGCTCCACCAGGGAGGCCACACTATTCCCTTATATGTCAGAAGACAGGGCCCTCCCTGATGGCGCAGAGGGTTAAAGCACAGCACAAAGAAGCTTAAACCACTTCTGCATGAGTTCGATTCCCGCCTGCCCTGGAGGTGATCCACATGGTGAGGCAGACCTCTCCTGACCCGCCCGCTGCTCCCCTCAGCGGTGTACTTCGTCCATCTGTCTGTTCTGCTCCCCACTCTGTCTCTGGTGAATCCTCTCACCCTCTGCATCTCTCACCTGTACCCCAGTTCTGTACAAATAAATAAATAAATATTTTAAAAAATGTCAGAAGACAGACACTTCAGGAGATCGAGGAACATATCAAAGAGTCGATAACTTGCTTAACAATAGTCCTGATTTCATTTCAGGTTTTCTGCTTCAATTCTCTTGCTTTTCACACATCTTAATGGTTGAAGGGTTAAGGGCTGGAGTTTTTAGAGCTCTGAAACTCCAGAAGGAAGTGTTCTAAAATATACGACAGACCCTCTCAGACAGCCTGCATCACTGGTGTGAGGTGCAGGGTGAGCAAGGCCTGCCCAGCATGCCTACACCTGGAACCACTTGTCCTCCCAGCAGAGGAGTGCTCCATGGGGCAGTCAGAACTGGGGACCCCACACTGCTCTCCTCTTATATTTCTTTTCATGTCCCTTGCTTGTCTATTCTCTCCAGCCTTGCTATTTCTCCTCTCTAAGAAAAGAAGGATAAGGGAACCCTGTTACTGCCAAAATTTGTTCTATTTTTTTCTTAGAAAAAAAGAAGAAACTCAAGAAATGTGGCAGCAGATGGTGTTGGGCCTTCAAGAGACTTTATCACCCAAACAAAATCCCGCCAGTGGGCTGAACAAGTAAGGTCCATGAGAAGTGAATTTGTTCACCTTCCTCTCCGCATGAACTAAAATGAATCATTTGGCACATAAGCCACAACTCTGCTACCTGGGAACTCCAGAAGCTCATTGACACAGACACCTGATCAGTCTTATACACGTGGAATTCCGCAGTCTAACATAGGCTCCCTCATCAAACCGCAAGACCTAGCAAACAAAATATTTTAAAAAGGGATATGGGTGTTGGAAAGAATCTCTAAAATACATACAAACGACTCAGCAGAGTCAAAATTTTAAGGTGCTTTCCTCCCTTCTTGCCCTATAAGTTCTTCTACTCACGTTATCCCAACAGCGATTTGGGGGAATAGAGCGGAACCGTCCTCGTGAAAGAGTGAGGTAACTAGAGTGCCATGCCGAGGACTCACCAGAAATTCATTCCCAAACTCCTCTTTGTTGATCTTCTTGTTCTGGGCCTGGTCCAGGTACTTGTGCAGGATTTCTCTCTGCTCCATGCTGCAGGAGTGGCCGTCTGGAAGGGGCTCGAGGGCATGTCAGGTTTGTGCTGTGACCCCACACAGCCGGGCCTTTGCTGCGGCCCCGGCGCAGTGCTGAAGGTTGTGGTTTACTGACTTCATCACAAGCCCTATAGGAAATTAGTACGTAACCGCCTCTGTGGTCACACAACAAAGCTATCATCTCACTCCCGGGCCCTAGCGCCTTCCTCTTAGCAAGGGAACCGGTTATAATTCAGGTTTTTAACAAACAAGAGGCTAACCGGAACACATGTGTGGTCTGCTCGGTTCTGAGGCCATTCCTCTCCAGCTCTCTTTGGCAAATGAGCCACTTTTTCAGGCAGCACCCTGGAGCGAGGGGGTAGGCCTGCCTCTCCCTGTGTCCCCAGGGAGCTCAAAAGCCTGTTGGTATTTCTGTTTTCTCCTGCCCCACATGAACTCCAGAAAGCTCAGGTGGGCCCAGAAAGGGCCCAGAAGGCTGTTTCCAGCTAGCCTTCTGTTCTGTGGTTCTCCAAGTCTCTTGTCTGCCTGGACAGTGGTGAACCTCTGTCCATCAGAGATGTCACTTTCATTCAGGACTTTTCAGTCTGTCATGTGGACCTTAAACTCTCTTTTAGATGAAGCAAAGTCAGCTGCTTCTGCAGTCTGTCCCTCCAGGCTGGGGAGGTGCCAACTTCGATTAAGGGAAGTGCTGATTTCAGGGGCTCCCCACTTCCCCCACTTTTTGAGCTCCACTTGGATGTCCATACTGAGAGCTTTGATCTAGAACAGGATAATATTGCTCCAATTATTGCCATTGCTGCTCTAAATAATACGTTTACTTTGTCTACTTTAAGACACGCAAAATATGGAAACAAACAAATGAAAAGCTTCAAGGTCACAATTACCAAATTTGAGCTAGGAGCGGGGAGCACAGTGGTCCCCGCAAGCAGCCCCTCACCCAGAAGTTGGTACAATACCCCTGTGTGTAATAATGCCACTGAACAAGTCAACACTTGCAGGCAAGAGTCTAATTTTCAGGGCAGAAAGCCTGCAGAACTATTTCTAGAGACAGCATTTCTTCTCTGCAACCAAGGCTTTCAACCTGCCATTGCACAGAGAGGCCGCACTGCGCACATGGCATTTTGATACAGGCAGGCAAAGGCTGTTCTAGAAAAAACTCACCTGCATCTTCTCTTGCATCAAAGGGAGCAACGGGCGGAGCTCCTTGGTGGGGACAAATCAGGCCAAGAGGGTCTTTTTTCTGTGTGATAACAGACAAAAATCAGTAGACTACCTCTGTGAGGACAGTTCAAGAAACAATGTGCTGAACTTAGTCTGAAATAATCTGAGGAAAAGCAGAAAATGCGCTCTTAGAACTTCCTCTATTGAAGGTATTAACGATCATTTCTGTTTTTGCAACATTATTCAAACTTCCTTTAGGAAATCTTGATTCTGAACAATATTAAGTTGCAGCCACTTTGGGAGACCCTGCCCATAGTCAAGGAAATCCACTGAAATCCACTGCGTCTAGGTAAGTAAAGGCCATAAGGAATTCCAATCCCAAACCACACCAATTTAAATGAACTGTAATTTTTCAACAATAGTTACTAAGAATAGGATAGTATTGCTCAACTTATTGCTATAGAGTTATTAAAAGAGAATTTCCTGCTGCTCTAAATAGTACATTTACTTATCTACTTTAAAACATGCAAAATATAGGAACACTTAAACAAATGCAAAGCTTCAAGGTCACAATTACCAAACCTAAGTGAATACACACACACACACACACACACACACACACTCACTCACTGAAGACAAAGATGCAGTGGAGAATCCATTGTGTGAGTGCTGGGATTAGGGTGCTTTTTAAAATCTCCACACCATTTTTTAATTAGAAAAAAATCCACACCAAAAAACATTCATTTGTGAACTAATTTATTGAGTATCCAGTAAGTGCTAAGCACGATGCTAGGTTCTGAGTACACACGGTGAACAAGGTGAAAAACAGCCCTCACTAGCTCAAAAATCTCTCAGAACTAAAGATATAAACTGAACTAAAGCACCCAAATCAGCTTGTTTATTTGCAGAAAGGTAGAGCACAACCCTAAAGGATAATGATTTTTCTATATTTGGGCAAAAATATAACCTCCCTGGCCCCTAAAAATGTCTTTACTTGCATCAGAATCAGAACTTTACTAATGTATAAAAATATACCTAATAAAATTAAATAAATCTGTTTTCTTCAAGCCCATATTTCAGAACAATTTAACTTTATTACCTTTCTTAGAGGGGAGAGGAAATGGAGACAAAACTGAAATAAGAGCAAAAAGTTTGCTCAGATGCCCTCTGCAGTCCTCTTACCCTTTTATCTTAGCAGAACTGAAGATTTTTTTTTAAAAAAGCAAACAGCAATTCTTAGGAGTTTGTTCTGTTCTCAAACCTAACAACAGAAACATCGTGAAATAACCAAACCTCAAAAACCCACTTAGCAGAAAGGCCATTTCCTGGACAGACCACTCAAGCAAGCAAAAAACAAACTAAAGGAGAAAACAAAAAAACATAAGTTTTTTTTTTTTTTTTAACAAATCTAAGTTGCTGTTTAATTTTTCACACTTCCTTCTACAGATATTGGAGGGCCTAGGACCTCATTTGCCTTTGACGGAGATTCTTGTTGACTCATTTGTATCATGTGGGAAGATCAAGAACTGGGCAGAGGAAACAAGTCATACAGCACTGGCAAACACCTAAAGGAATTTAAGAATTGACAATGAAACATCTCAACCCGTCTGGTCTACACCCCAAGTGAACACGACAATTCCATTCAGACAAAGACTCATCCACTCTGCATCAGAACCATCAGGCGGAGTCCGGAAAGCAAAACTAGACAGGAGCTTCTGAAGGGGTGAGGCAGGGTCATCTACCCGCTGCCGTAGGCGGTGCCGGTGTTGGTTTAGATGGAAGAAGACGACAGAGAGGCGAGCAGGTGACACCGTCACCAGCAAGAGGGGAGTGTGCCATTTTAGGGGCAATGCCATGTTCAGGGTCATGAAGGTTGGGAATGAGAGGGCAAATTCATCTTTAAACAAAGAGGATCTCGGGAGAGATTAGTAGGACAAAATAAGCTAGTCGGAAGGGACGATACTCAGGTTTTCCAGAACAGTCTTCTCCCTCTAGTAAGAGGTGTGTCCTACCTGGGGAGACACTTAGCTTCTGCTTTTGCTTCACTACTTCTGTTGCTTCCACCTTACCAGGGTGCTCAGTTTGCTATGGGCTAAGAGTGTCATCTGTGAAACACCCGACTCAGTCCCTGGTCACCAAAGCCTGCTGGCTCTTTCCCCTCAATGGCATTTACATTCAATCTCTCTTCCACTCCTGTGTGAACCATTCTGCAGTTGTATCGTCTGGATTGCTGTGGGAACAGGCTCTTAGTTATCTTTTCATCTATGTACCTTCCGTTCTAGTACCCAGCAACTGAGGCTGGGTGACAATCCTCAGAACCCCACTTTCAGGACCTCCCTGGTGGCCTACGGGTTAAGTCTCAGCACTACCAACTCAACCGCTCTGAGCTTGATCCTCAGCCAGGGAGCTGACCCACATAAGGTGCAGCAAGCCTCTCCTGTCTCCCCTCAGCAGTGTATTTCAGTGGATCCACCTGTTCTGCTCCCCACTCTGTCTCTGGTGAGTCCTCTCACCCGTCTCCACCTCTGGCCTACACCCTAATTCTACACAAAAGTAAATAAATTTAAAAATCTTTAAAAAAAAAAAACCCTCCACTTTCATGCTAAAATATCAAAATATTTACTGTCTATGGGAATAAGTCCAGATTTTGCTACTCGGTATCGGGTGCCTCCCATCAGCACCCCCACTCTTCCTACCACCCTCATGCCCACAGACCTCGCTCACTGCTCTGTCACCACTTCTCACTTTCACCGTCCATTTCAGCACGATGAAAATGAAGCCATAAAGCCTAGTTGCTTCTTTTTCAACAATCCTGTCCACAGTCCACCATGACCTTAGTCTGAACACTTTCAATATAAATCTGACTTAACTACAGAAGTTTCTTCACAGATTCCTTGTTCCTCACAAATTTATTTAAAAGGACTTTCTTCAAAAGAAATTATAATGAATGCCCCCCTGGACAGTTTATCCAAGGCAGCTAGCTATAATGTCTTCTGTAAATTCATGTCAGCTCCAGTACCTACCCTGGCCTAAAGAATGCCTGCCGTAAGTGTTGGGATAGAGGCTGCCATGACACGGAGAGGCGTGAGAGAGAGACTCACCCTGACTGGGTTGTTCTCTAGGTCAGTTATTCCAGGTCTCTTGCCTGGCACAGTCTATGCAAGCCCCGCCTGGGCGCTTCCACTATGCCCGGAACAGATGGGCCTTCCCCACAGGGAGGCCCCGGGCCTGGCAAAGAGGACCAGCCAGTGCAGCTACCAGAGCAGCAGGACTACAGTGAGGAGAGGAAGGACGCACACTGAGCAGAGGCCAGCCCGCAGGCTATGCTGGGCAACTAGACAGCCTCCTTTATCTCCAAATAGACATGTTTGCCTTCGCGCAGAAGCAGCCCAGAATACCTCTAGTAAGCTTGCTTGGTTTGCTGGGGTTTCCACCTCATCCACAGCAGGGTGTCCCCATCCATCTTCAAGGTGGGCTAGTCACTGCTGCCTTCTAAGAGCTCACCCAGTGCTTTTGTTCACCTGCTGTGAATTGTGTTCTCTGCTCCCCTCCTACAAGACAGGGAATCATACTCTGCCTGTGGTTTCTGGAAATAATCCCCCGGAGGTCAACTGATAACTTGCAATTTAAACAATTTACTTTTTTTTTTTTAATTGAAATATGAAAGGGGACGCTGATGAGGCTTGGTAATTTGTTCAAAATAGAAACAAACCCGGGCCCTCCCTGGTGGCGCAGCGGGTTAAAGCACAGCACTAAGAAGCTAAAGCCACTTCAGCATGAGCTCAATCCCTGTCCCGAGCTGACTCACATGGAGCAGCAGACCTCTCTGACCTGCCCACTGCTCCCCTCAGCAGTGTACTTTGTCAGTGGGCCTGTTCTGCTCCCCACTCTGTCTCTGGTGAATCCTCTCACTGTCCCTGCACCTCTGGCCTGTACCGCAGTTCTGTGTGCAGAAACAAATAAATCTTAAAAAAAAAAAAAAAAGGGAACAAACCCTAAGTCTCATCTTGACTGTGTCAATGTTGAGTTGTCCATTTATCCACTCCACTTGATGAATATTTATGTGATCATACACACACACCAGAGAAAGGGGAAGTAGAGGGAGACTGTACAAGGAATTGTCTTCTTTCAAGTATCTTTATTCTAATAGGGAGGACAGGTAAACAAAAAATTATCACTAAGGCTATTGGTGACAAGACCAAAAAACTAAGGCTATTGGTGACAAGGCCATAAAAATGGCACCAATAACATCTTGAAAAGGCAAAGGTCACTTTTTATTTGGATTATCTGAAAGCCTTGATGGAGGAAGTGACACGCAAGTTGGATCTCGAATTTTCTCCAGCAGCTGAGACGAAGCAATATGAAGCATATTAATAGGAAGGTAAGAGAGTAAGTTGCTGAACTGGAGCAGTGGTTATGTAGAGTATTGACTTATTAGGACCAGAGTTGGAGGGAATTTGAAGACCAGGCTGCAAAGCCAGGTTTTATTTGAAGGACAAAGCACTATAATCCTTTTTGTTTAACTTTATTGAGGTAGAATTGACATACAATAAACTACACATTTCAAAGTCCTTGGCTTGATGAGTTTTGGCATGTGTTTGTGTGTGCCTAGCCAGAAAATATCTCCACAATCACGATAACATATCCAGTCACATTCAAAAGTTCCACTGAAAGATTTTTTTTAAATTTATTTATTTATGCATACAGAACTAGGGTACAGGCCAAAGGCTCAGAGATGGTGAAAGAATTCACCAGAGACAGAGTGGGGAGCAGAACAGGCAGATCAACAAAGTACACTGCTGAGGGGAGCAGCGGGCGGGTCAGGAGAGGTCTGCTGCACCATGTGGTCACCTCCGGGCTGGGAATGGAACTCATGCTGAAGTGGCTTTAGCTTCTTAGTGCTGTGCTTTAACCCGCTGCGCCACCAGGGAGGGCCCCACTGAAAGATTTTAACGGCAATGAAAGCAAAGCTTTGTGAAAGTGTTTCAGTGATATTTAAAAAAAAAAAGTAGGCTCCCTTCTGCTAATTTTTTGGAAAGTCTCATAATGGCCTCAGTGGTATGCAAAATTTCAAAATGAAATCTACCACATCTAAATATGAATTAAAAGAGTGAGCAATAAAACTATGGTATTGGCCAACCTTACAATAGTATTTTGGACAGATTGGAAAGGTAAGTGCTAATAAGCCCTTGTAGGAAGGACAAAAAGCAGAGAATAAGTGAAAAAAGACTAAGTAGGACTAGAGAGAGCAGGGTGAAGCAACAGGTGTTCTGGGTGGGTTGGATGGCAATCTAGGGTAGTCCGGGGATAAGAAAGTTATACTCGGCCCTCCCTGGTGGCACAGTGGGTTAAAGCACAGCACTGAGAAGCTTGAGCCACTTCCGCATGAGTTCAATTCCCGCTAGGAGGAGATCCACATAGTGAGGCAGACCTCTCCTGACCTGCCCGCTGCTCCTCTCAGCCGTGTACTTCGTCGATCTGCCTGTTCTGCTCCCCGCTCTGTCTCTGGTGAATCCTCTCACCCTCTGCATCTGAGGCCTGTACCCCAGCTCTATATGAATAAATAAATAAATCTTTAAAAAAATAAATAAATAAAATTTAAAAATAAAAAAAATAATAATAATAAAAAAGAAAGGTATGCTCACAAAAAATTAAGAATCTATGAGCATGGATTTGGGAAGAAGATAGTCAGATTTGAGAATATCTCATGTGAGACAAAAGGTAAAGTCGAGAAGATTGGCTTGCTTTGGAGAGACAGAGTTGATGGAAAGAAGCAAGTCATGTCAAGCTAGAACTTTCTGAACCCCGAATCCCTGGGCTTCCAAATGTCAAATGTTGCAGTGCTCAAAATGTTCCTAGCACTGGGCCTAACCCTTTACAAAGTGTATTATTTCATTTACCCCTCACAATAATCCTATGAATTAGTTATCAAACCATCTCTATTTTAAGAGATGGAAACAAAGGCAAACAGAATTAGAGTAACTGCCCAATGTCATGTGATTAACCTATGTGGTGACTAGACTGTTAAAAATCAAGCAACCTGCACACAGTCTTAATCTCTGGGCTTAATCTTTTTTTTTTTTTTTTTAAGATTTATGTATTTGTGCATACAAGAACTGGGGTACAGGTTAGAGGTGTGGGGGATGAGAGGATTCACCAAAGACATTGTGGGGAGTAAAGCAGGTAGACTGACTGAAATCCACTGCTGCAGGGAGCAGTGGGCTGGCAGGAGAGGTCTGCTGCGCCCTGTGGGTCACTCCCTGACGGTCATGCCCCTGCCACGAAGTTGTGTTGCAGTGGCTGTAGATAGCTTCATAGTGCTGCACTTTGACCCCTTGTGCCAACAGGGTGGGTCCTCTGGGCTTAATCTTGAGCCCAGTCACTTTGCCTTTCCTAGAATAGGGTGACCCTGGCCAGGGTGGCGTTACCCATTTACTGGAATCCCTAGGGACACCATAACCTCACTCACCAGGTACCCCAGGATACGCAGAGCGAGATTCACAGTCTGGTGTTTTATGGGAATGTAGGGTAAGTTAGGGAGCTGGTGTGTCTAAAAAGGGAAAGAAAAGAGACCGCTTTTTGTTCAGGTTAGTTTTTGCAGTTTTACTGATGTATGTGACATGTAACACGGTGTAGGTTTAAGGTATACAATCTAATGCTTTAATATATTTATGTCCTGCAAAATGGTCACCACAATATAGTCAGTTAGTACTTCTATCACCTCTCAGCGTTAGGCAGCTTTTTTTTTTTTTTGTGGTAGGAAATTTTACAAATCAACTCTCTAACCATTTTTAACCCTCTGGTGCTGACAACTCCAATCTGTTCTGTTTCTCTCTTATACAGTTTAGACTGTGCGTGCTGAACCATGTTTAATTGCATAGAGGAATTTTATTTCATGAACTGAAAAGCATTAGTCAAAGTGAAATTAGTGATATTGTCTAAGAGGTCAAATACCACAAAACTTACCATGCTGAGTTTTAGAGTAATGTAAGGAACAAAGAGAACATCAAGTGTCTTAAATTGGCAGCGAAACAATTAAGGTCAACTAAAGAGAAACATGAAATCTCATTCTGGATTACTAAACTATTGTGATTTATTCAAGAATAGAGGAAATAGCAGACTTGGAAAATGTCAACGATATTAGCAGCACTGCGCCTTTATCTCTGTGCATTGAAGGAGCCAGATGGCTGAAGGGAGGGGATGTGGTTAGCTTTAGCCAAAGTCATAAAATAGATATAGCAAAATAGATATGGCACTATTTCTTCTTGACTTCAGGTAAGCGGTCTGGCTTGGAAGCTGGATGAAGCAGTCTGACTTGATGATCATCTGCTAATCTACGTGATTACGATGGATGACTTGAGACACACAGACCACAGACGCTAAGTGCTTTGTTTCTAATCACTTTTTTCTCTAGCAGGGGACTAGAAGTGAATTTACACTCTCAAACTAAATTCTGATCAAATAAGTCTCCTGCCTACAATTGTGTGTAGCAGGAATTATCTGAATTACCACAGTATTTAAGGCTCAAGGAGAAATATTTATTTAGTTTTAGAGTAAGAGTTGGCAAACTTTTTCTGTACTTTAAGCTTTACAGACCCTAGATTGTCTACCATAGTCACTGAACTCTGCATTGCAGTGTGAAAACACAAATCATAAACAATGTGTAAGCAAGTAGCTGCATTCCAAAAACTTGATATACAAAAAAAGCACTCGATTGACTCAGCCTGTGGGTAGAATTCTCCAATCCCTGCTCTCAAGTGACGGTTCTCAAACTCTCTGATAACATCAGAATTGCCTTGTGTAACAAGTCAGTCAGTATCCTCGACCCCAGTTCATCCCTAAAGATTCAGAATCTCTAGGCAGGGAGCCTGGAAATCAGCAGTTTACATGGCTCACAAGTGATATGGAAACACTTTTATAAACTCTTGTGCAGTGAGCTTGATCGGAGCTGGGCTGACCAGCTGTCCGGGCTGGGGCAGCCCTTCCTGCCCCCTTGGCTGTGAGCATGTCCTCACTGGACAGATAAACAGACTGCTAATTTTTGCTTACAATCCAGAAAATGCATCAAATAATTTTCCTCAGGTGAAATTACCATGAAATTTAAGTTATGAGTTTAAAAGGAAATGCTCAAAATAAGAACTTACAATTAAAAATCTCCCTGAATCTTCTAGAGGAAAAGAACTAGTAGATAAGACCCTGTTAGGACAAGCCTACATCAGCTGGGGTAGCTTACTGTGTAGATATCTCCAGCAAAGGCCTGTCCTGTTGTCAGGAATCACACTGCGTACACACACTTACTTTGGGTCTGGAGGTGTTGGCTTCAACAGAACCTCAATAAAATTCAAACAGACCTCCACTGAACTTTGGAAGCAGCTCCTAGCTTTACCAGTCAGTGGAAACAGATCACGCAGTTAAGACCAATTCTATCCAAAAGAATGTAGCTTCTGATTTGATTGTTTTAATGGCCAGCAATCAATCAATCCGGTCAAAGAGGAAGCACAGTGCCAGCTAGAAACAGCTCCATCTCTTCTTTAGCATTCCATATTTTCCTAGGAAGGACAGTGAATAACACATAGTCAGGGGGTGATCTTCAAGAACTTCCTAAAGAAACCAGAAATAATCTGTAGTTACTCCAGGGAATGCGGTTCTTTCTATCGCATCTGCTGGCCTTGGGAATGAAGGTAGCGCTCAGTGAGAGCAGACGGTTCTCCTAGTTACCGAGCGGTGGAGAAAGCCTCCTATAGTTATTACTACACCACACAACACTAATTGTTTCGCTGTTGTTAGATAGTAGTAAGGTGATGCTGAATTTCCTCAACACATATCCAAAGATGTTAGGGAAAGAAGACCCAGAAATCTTCCTGGGAACACAGTGAATCTGGCTGAGGTTAGAACTCTGCCACCCAATATAATTTATAGATGACTGTATGTAGGAAATGGAAGTAAGCTTTACAGAATTAGCAGTCAACATTTTAGGCTGCATGATCTGGAGTCCAGCACCCACAGGGTGAGCTTCTGAATACCCCCATTATCCATGGCAAGCAAACTCTGCATTTTCAGTGAAGTAGAAAGACCTGTCTTCATGCTTGGTTTTCAACTTACAGAAAGAATCACAAGTAGGAGTTTCAGGGATTAGTACAAAAAAGGGTTCAAATGTCTAGCAAAGCCCTGTACCCTGCATACTTACCCAACCTCCCTGGCTCTGGATGAACCCCCGGATTTGACTGTTCTCGTTGATGATAGTCGTCATTGGGACAACCAGGTTTCGTGCTACTTCAGCATTCTTTTTTGCCACACATTCAAGAAGTTTCACTAACACTCCCAGGAAGGCTTTCTCAGAAGCCAAGGTGGGATCCTGAGCACACCAGCTCTGGCTGAGAGATGTTACTATATTCTGAAGTACAGATTTTTCCTGGGGGCAGAGACAGGATATATCAGTGGAGTATCACTAAAAAAAAAAAAACAAAGTACAGGCAGCTGCAGGGGCAGGAATCCAGAAAAGCAGGTGCTTCCTAAGACTGGCCAATGTATTGAGGTATTCTTAGGGGTCAATGGATAAAATTTCATTTTAATATTTTGTTGTTTATTGTCATGGATCTTAGAAAAACAATTAAGAAACTTATCAAACCCATGATTCCAGATATTGTTGCTCAGGCCAAACATGATAGAAAGTAAAATTTGTTTGAAAGAAAATACTAAGTAGATGATAGTGTAGCTGGTCAAATTATGAAAGTATGGCTTGAATAACTGAAGTCTGGGAAAACTAGGAATGTAAAAGAAAGATTAGGCTTTTTCCTCTTCTCCCCTCACCCCCAATTTTGTCTAAAAGCTACAAGGTGGGGCCATACAAGAACTGCTGTGGGGTAGCTTAGGGGAAACCATGGTGGCCAAAGCCGGCTGTTGGAGACCAAGCAGCTGAGAAGGGCACCCATGCAAAAAAAAAAAAAAAAAACCCACAGAGCTCCCTGAAGAAAGGCTGAAACAACATAGGTAATACTTGAAACAACATAGGATCTGTTACAAATGAAGGAAGAATTCTGATAATAAAGCCATGCAAATAAGCAGTGGTAGTAAGAGATGAAGTCCACTGAATAAGGTAGGAATTCATGACTCTATGGCGATATCAAAAATCTAGGTTGAAATTTTGATGAAGTAGGGGAGATTTACGCAGATTCAAAGTAAATCCCTATGAAATACTTAGCGAGGCCTGGCAGAGAGATTCAGTGACTGGAGTTAGCATCAGGAAGGAGACAGGCCAAAGCCTGTGCTACAGGCTTCTCAGAGGAACACAATGAAAAACACGCAATTTATGAGGTGTACCAAAGGTATAAATTCTGAATCAATCCAAGGGGAGACAGCAAACAGACCAAGTGAGGAGTCATTGTACAAAATAATTGGTCTGTAAGCTTCCATTTTCAAGGTCATGAAAATCATGAGAAGACTAAAGAATCATTCCAGGTTGAAGGAGACTAAAGAGATGGGACAGCTAAACACGCTTCCTGGTTCTGGCCTGGACTTTTTAGCTATAAATGACATCATTGCCATTCAACTGGCAAGCCTGAATGGGATCTGAAAATAAGGTGATACTGTGTCACTGCTAATTTCCTGGCTTTGATGATTAGGTTGTGATTAGAGAAGAGAATGTCCTTGTTTGGAGGAAATATAAAAGTATTAGGGAGTGATGAGACTCGTTCTGTTGGCTGCTTTATGCTGGTCACACTAACGGAGAAGAGAGTGATACTGGGATTTAGGTAGTCGTGCATGGGTGCCCTCAGCTGCTTGGTCTCTAACAGCCGGCTTTGGCCACCATGGTTCCCCCTAAGCTACCCTACGGTAGTTCTTGCTTGGCCCCACCTTGTAGCTTTTAGACAAAATGGGGTGTAGGAAAAAGAAAGAGGAGGCTTCAGTTCTTTGTATAAACATGCAATTTTTTCTATGAGACTTTTGTTTTAAAATAAAAAATTTTAGCGTTCCCTGCGCATCAACCCAGTCATAGCTTCTGAACCTAGCATCACTCCAAAAGGCCAGAACAACCTGTGCTCCCCAGACTCAGGGGTGCATCAAGCCTGTGCAGTTTTCCAGGCAGAGCTGGAAAGGATGGCACTGCAAACTCCCCAAGAGGCAGTTCCTAACCTTTGCAAATACAGAACTCGCTGTCTTCACAAAGAGCAAGAAAGATCCGAGTGCCCTTAACTTCATGATAAAGAAATTGGCCCCCAATTATGATGGGCAGCTGGATTTTCTAAGAACTTCTGAATTTGATTGGCCACCTGACTTCTTTATGAAGTCCTTGTTGCAGAAATTAATCTGAAGAGCTCCTTGGGCCTAGCCTCCAGACATCCCATTTCCTTCTAGACTCCCCATCATCATTCTTCCTCAGAGCCCACCAGGCAGTAATAAAGCAACATCATTTTTCAAAACACACAGTGCCCTCCCCCCAAGTGTTTTTAATTAAAAAAAAAAAAAGGAGATCTAGTTATCAACTAAGAACTTTCAATGTGAGTAATTAGGAGTAACAAGTTCTCCCTCAGTGTGAAGTGGGCACATCAGCCAAGCTGAATTTAGTAAAGAGAAGGCATAATAGTTATGCCCGTGTGTTCTGAGGGTTTTGTGTGTTATGCTATGAGTGTGGTTCTGAAATCACTCTGGAGTCATATCCTCACTTCAGCACTTAGAGTAACCCAATGCTTTGTTTCCTTAGTTGCCCACTTTTCTTCTCTGTTTACATGGGTAGCAAACCTGAAAATACACGTTTGTGGACGGTTGTGTCTCAGGCGCTGTTCTAGGTTGGGGTATGGTGGTGAACAAAACACATCAGGTGTTTGTTTTCACAGAGTTACGTACATGTAGGGAGAGGCTGAACTATGGATAACAGTTTCTAAAGTGCCTCATAAAGTGGTGCAAGAATTAAATGAAAGTACATACGAAACATTTAGAATATTGACTGAAACAGTGATAACATTAATTGTCACTTTTGACATTAATCAGCATCTTCTAGAACATAGTCTATGATTATTATTTCCAACACAAAATCCAGTATTACTGCTAGTCATCAGCATTCTGATGGAAAGCTAGATACGGCCTTGTGGGCTCCTGTAAGTACTTTTCCCTTATTGCACCACACTTGTTAATGGCCTGTTCTTCCTGTGTGCTTCCTTGCTGGGCCTTGGGAAAAAACAAAAATGCCACTCCCAGCAAAGTATGAAAGCAGGTAGATAAAAAGAATAAATTTCCTGATCAGGACAAGAGATCTGTGTTACTAAGTCCAGCTCGGATGAAAATCAAATGGGAACAATCTGAAGGTTGATCGACTTATCCCAGAGCTTTCCTTTTCAAACCACTTGATTTTAAGTAACTCTGGAAGAACTGGCAATTGGCAGAACTCCTGTTACATGTCTTTTTATGAACTGAAGCCCCCAATCTTACTTGGAATATTTCTAGTCATTGTTACATAGGAGAAGTGAGAAAAAGGTATTTGAAGTAGAAAAAAAAAAAGTAACAAATGATAGAAAGAAGTAGAAACTTGACCTGTTTCTGACTGAATCCAGAGATGACATCTTGTACAGAAGCTTCCAATTCTTTGTTGAACTTGTCACCAAGCATCCGAAGACGACCAACAATGATGGCCTCATCAAAAGAGCTAGTCTCTCCTAAAACAGAGGGAACAAAGACCACATTGGCCATAATCCTTGAAGGTATGGCAAATCCCAGGAAACTGGGAGCTGTAGAACATTCTTTAGACTTCTACATGATTTTGGCGTCATTCTCATCCAAGAATATCTTCATTGTTCTGTCAGCATCAAGAAAATCTTCCTTCACTGAGAATCTCTTTCCCTTTTATGAAGTTTTCAGATCTTCCTGAAAGGTTAGTGTTTTCCTTACGAAACAGGAGAAAATGAGCAAGCATATTCAGATTCACTTAATGACCTACAATCATCACCTTAGGTCTGGAGACTTACCTGAGTCAGTTTCAGAATCGTCACAGTTTAAGGTGCGGTTACCAGTCGACATCGTGGGGTGTAAGAAGTCATTGAGTAGATAGTTCATGACACACTCAGTTTGCTCCTCAAAAGTTTGGGGATTCTTCATTTTGATGCTTGCTGCCAACTTTTGCTTTTCCACAAACAGGTTTTCAGTTTCAGCAGGAAGTCAGAGACACTGGTAAACCAGCAGCTGTTTTTATCTACTGTGAAGTTTCCTACTGGGACAGACAGTCCTAGAGACTTCCTCACCACTTTGCTTGAAAAATAGCTGCTCAGAAAGAAAGTGTGGATTGTCTGAAAAGCTTAGCCACACAGAACTTATTGAAGACTTTCAGTTCCCTCCTTCAGAACCACACCCTCACTATTATCTAAGCTTAATGGATAACTTTTATAGTTAGATAGCCAATCTAGAACTGAAAGAGTTGTGGAACAGCTTCTTGGGTAATGCCACTAAGAAATACTTCCTGTTAGGCTTATGGTACAGTGTAATCTAAAGAAAGAAACTTTTTGAAATACTTAATTTTTTTTTTTTTTTTGCAGTGCAGGCAGCTGACATATTTATTACAGAGCCAGGCACAGAAAAATACCACGAGAAAACATGTCCATAAACAGTGCCGCTTTCAGTGACATGCAGATGCTACTGATCTCAGTGTAGCATAAATATACGCCCGACTCCCTGCGATTCCTTACAGACCCAGCGTGGTTCTTCTCCAGTGTCTCCTCTTGGAATTGTCTCCTCCTGATTTTGTTACCAGTTTTCATCCGAATCCACTGGGGAATGGGATGGCTCTGTTTTTGTTTCTTGGCTAGGAATTGCTTGATCCTGAAAGACTTGTGAGAAGACAAGGCGAGGAAGAGGCAAGTGCATAGAACGTGATGGCGGAGGGAAGAAGCAAGAGGATACTGAAGCATTTAATACCTGTCTGTGGTACTTATTTGCTTCGATCATGCAGTGATTATTCACTGAGTACCTATGCATAAGGGACTGTACTTGGCACTACAAGTCCACAGAAAAATGACATAGACATAGTTGCTGTCCTCATGGAACTGACACTTCAGCATGAATGATTCATATCAAGTGTCCTACCACATAATTTCTTGTGCTTATTGAGACAGTGTGTGATTATAGACAACCAAACCTATGGGATTAGCAAGACTTTCCTGAAGCAATAACACCTGAGGTGAGCTCTGAAAGACAAGTAAGAATTCACTATGCAAAGAGGAGGAATAAGACCATTCCAGGCTGAAGGAAGAATACCTAAAAGCTGGGAGGGGGATCCTCCCTGGTGGCACAAAGGATTAAATCACAGCACCATGAAGCGATCTGCAGCCACTGCACCACAAGTTCAATCCCTGGCCAGGGAGGTGACCCACAGGGCACAGTAGACATCTCCTTTCTCGCCCATTGCTCCCCTCAGCAGTGTATTTCAGGCAATCTGCCTGTTCTGTTCCTCACTCTGTCTCTGGTGAATCCTCTTACCCCCCAGACCTCTGACCTGTACCCCAGTTCTTATAGGCATAAATAAATTACTCATTTCTTAAAAAGCTGGGAAGGGCATTTGAGGGATAATACAAAATAATTCACAGGGAAATGATAAAGATTAAATAAAATAATGTTGTGGAATGACCCCACAGTATCTGACAAGCAAGATATTTTACATATTTTCTTTTTAGCCCAAGACCTACATCTATTTTCTTTTTTTAAAAAGATTTATTTATTTATGCATACAGAACTGGGGTACAGGCCAGAGGCGCGGGGCGGTGAGAGTCTTCAGCAGGCAGGTCAGGAGAGGGCTGTCACCTCTGGGGCAGGCGGGGATCGAACTCATGCGGAAGTAGCTTTCGCTTCTTAGTGCTGTGCTTTAACCCGCTGCGCCACCAGGGAGGGCCCTCATCTATTTTCTTAATAGATTTGAATTCCATATAGTTCTGAGAGACCTAGGATTAGACACACTTTTAGCGATAGCATGTATCTTCTTAGTGCAGCTGCACCTAGTTGGAGGTTTGGATCTCAAGAGCAGCACTGGAAATCTATTAGTCCTTCGAGGAGATTCTGACGTGGTGAACTAATATGAGATTCAAGCATAAGCTGATGTCAATTGTTCAGAAGGGAATTTTTAACTTGTAAAAAACAAAAAGCAAAAATAATAAAAGAAAACCTAACATGATCAGAACCAATCCTGTTTCCTATTCCATTTTATTAAAAAAAGTTATCAAAGATGTATTTTGGACTAGGAATAGCTGAAAAGGGCTATTTTCACTTTTCAATATCTATCAGAGGGCTAAAAATTCAGTTACTACGAATTAGGCTTTGTCTGACATCAGAAAGTCATGCAGGGATAATTCTAGGTCAACCTTTCACACAAGAGCTCACCATTGACGACTTAAGAGTCTAACAATACATTTATAACCTACTCCCAAAATAATATATAAAAACAAAAAATGTTCTTAAGAGACCAGCGAACTGGTATTAGTTTCCCCAACTTAAGTGATATTAGTATGTGGCAGTATAAAAATGTAAAACGTAAAGCAGAAAGTTAAGCCTGTCTTAACTCAGTACACCTTTCCCCACAATAATAAACCACCTTCCTCATTTCACTACTAATAGACTGATGGACCATATTTAGAATCCTTTGCATCACCTTGAATAATCATTGTTGGAAGGCTGGAGAAAAAGGGCATGTGCTGTCAGGGGCAATGTGGCATAAATGTCCTGCTCTATTTCTCTTGGCGCCCTCAGTGTGGCATCCTCCCAAACTACCCCTTCCTCTCTAGTCCACATACTCTTCATAGTTCTAATACTGGATTTCTACTTATTATTTAAAAATGAGGCCAGAGTGTTTTCACTATTCATTTCACATGGTAAAGCCACATTTTACTTCCCTCCCTTAAAAGTCTCATCCCTTACATCATTTAGATAACTTAAAATCGACACTTTTCAAAAGCGAGTTTCCTATTCCACCACACCCCTTACATTACAGAAAAGCAACCAAGTAGAACTTAATCTTCTAAAAGCTCCGATAGTTGGGATGATTTTAGTAACACTTATTTAATTGCTGAACTATACCTACTTTTTTTTCTTAGGTCAGTATTTCAACTATAGTCTATTTTAAAAAAAAAATCAACTTACTCAATTTCCACCCACTTACATCCTGTTCTCAAGTAACATTAAATTGGCAGAATTTTACGCTTTATTTTAGTAAGCATTCATGGTTAAATCATAGAAAAAGCGGCCCTCCCTGTTGGTGCAATGGGTTAGGACACAGCACTGCAAACTAGCCACAGCCACCTTGGTGCAAGTTCGATCCCTGGCCCCAGAGGTGACCCACATGGCACAGCAGACCTCTCCTGTCTCGCCTGCTGCTCCCCTCAGCAGTGTACTTCAACAATCTGCCTGTTCTGCTCTCAGCCTCTGGTGAATCCTCTCACTGCCCCTGTGCCTCTGGTCTGTACCCCAGTTCTGTATGCATAAATAAAGAAAATTTTTAAAAAATAGAAAAAGCAATTCTGAAGATTTTCTAACCCTCTACTTCAACTTCCCAGGGAATCTATGGTCTTGACCAGTTGTTCTTAATGGAGGGTGATTTTGGCAATTCCCCACCGCCCTTGCCCAAATGCAAATGGCAGTGTCTGAAGTTATTTTTAGCTGTCACACTGACAGTTCTATATGCATATATTGGGTATAGGCCCGAGATGCTACTATTGTACTATAGTGCACAGGACACCCTTATCTCTGTCTCCTCTCCCTCCACTCCTCCCCTCCTCCCACCAACACATACATAGGGAAAAATTATCTGGCCCAAATATCAGTCATACTACTTTTGAAATATCCTAGTCAAGATCAAATTCCATTTTCTATATCGTTGATACAATATTACAAAAAACTACAGGAATCTAATTAGTCACTCAGTAAGTATTTTTTGAGCTATCACTGTGTGACAGGTACTGTGGAGAGAAAAGGAAAGACAATCACTATCTTTGGAAATTGCCCAGTAAGGACAAATTACAAAATCCAGGCTCTTACCAGAAAATTCAATACCATCTGTTATCTGGTTTATTTTGAGCCTAGTTGAGAGAAGTGATGGTTGAAAGATTATTTGAAAAACTTGCAGCCCCTTGATGTAGCTAGGAAGTAGAAGTCCTTGAATCAAGGTGGATGGTATTTGGGTCATGTTGTCTTAAATCCCTGAAGAAATTCTCACTAAGGTCATTGAAGAAACATGTGAAACCATGGCTAACTGCCCTCAGTTGCCCCTATGAAAACAAAATTTCTTTAGAAATTGGAATTTGAATGTCTTTTCCTCTTTGATTGCGAACTATGTAATTCACCACTTCTCTTCACTCTGCCTGCCAAATTGCTTACTGAGTTAACTCCAAGACTCAATTCAGCATGAGGACCCTTAGAACCTGAATATTCGATTGACTCCCCATCCCTAACCTAGCTATCTAACTGACAATTTCATTTTCCTAATTCCGAATTCTCTAGTTATTCATACTTCACCTTTATCTTATTACATTTGTTCTTGCCTTAAATTGCTTCAACTAATGGGGTCAGGCCTGAATAAAATTAAAAGTGAGGAAGAGTGATAAAGAAACACCTAAAATCACACTCCTAGACACATAAGCTTGTTGGGTTGACGCCTTGAATGTGGCCTTTAATGCAGGCATCATTTCTGTGCGCATCAGAGAAAGTTTCCTGAGAGAGCTCATGACAGAACTGAACACAGACAGGTAGATGAGGTGTTATTTCAGTAAGGAGGAGAGAAGGGTGAGGAAATGTTCTAGGTAAGAAATAAAAGCACAGAGGCAAGATAGCCTGGCTCATACAGGGAACTATAAGTGGTTGAGACAAGATGCTGAAGAGGTACTTAGAGAGAGGCCTCGTTAGGGACAATGAACTCTGGACTTAAAAACATGCTTAGAAATATGAAGACAGGGGCACAAGGGGTTAAGACACAGCACTAAGAAGCTATCCACAGCTTCTGCAGCATGAGTTCCATCCCAGGCCAGGGAGTGACCCACATGGCTCAGCAGACCTCTCCTGTCTCGCCCATTGCTCCCCTGAGCAATGTATTTCAGTCAATCCACCTGTTCTGCTCCCCACACTGTCTCTGGTGA